ATATCATTCAGTTTGAAAAATGAATTAGAGATACCAATAATTGTTTCCATTTCCTTTTTATTACTGGCAATCCAAGCTGTATCATCAGCATATGCGACAACTGATGTTTTTAATTCGTGTTGTGTCTTGTTGATATCGGTCCCTTCAGAAGAGGGCCATTGAGTAATCAATCTGTAACCTACTTCTGGGATATCTTTGATTCTAGTTAGAAGTGGATCGTAAAAAATTCTCCAGATCAAGGGCGATATTGTCTCTCCTTGGTCTATACCGTCCCCAGCATAAAAGCCTTTGGATAAACCATATGCGGTTATAACTTGTAATTTTCGGTTTTTGAAAAGGTTAATTATAAAGTTGATTAGGTCCGTCGGGCATTTAATCCTTTCCAGGGCTTTGGTCAACGGTGTCATTCCTATGGAATCAAACGCTTTTGCCATATCCTGGAGGCAAATCCAAAGCTCTTTTTTAGCAGTAGTAGCGTCATTAATAATATTGTTTATGACATGTATTGGAATGTTTGTGGAGCCACCAGGAAGTCCGGCAAAATTCGGACCTGTGAGAATATTGTGTTGTACTAAAATGAGACTTAATCGTTTGTTAATTATTTTGACATACAATTTTCTGAGACATTCCAGTAACAGGATTGGACTAGTATTATTTAGTCTAAATTGCCAGTCTTTAGGCTTTTGTATTGGTAAGATCTGTGAAGTCACCCATTCATCAGGGAAAGTGGCCGTACGGTATATTATTTCTGCAAAGGAACGTAAACTAGTTTGCTTCTTTGGTCCAGCTTTCTTGATTAACTTATATTCTATTTTTGATAAACCTGGAGCGGATTTATCTTTGCATTCTTTTAGCGTAGCGATCCATTCCTCTTGCGTAGGTTTTTCCATAATGTCTTTGTATATATTTTCATCTATTTCCGCAATTGTCGCATAATGAATTGCCCATTCCTCTGTGATATTATCTAATTCATGACTCTGATGTTTCTGTAATTCTACATATTGGTCTTCAGCTCTGTTCATTATATTCTCTGGTTCTGTAATGAGTTTTATTTTTCCAGTGACAGGATCTTTTTGCACGAGCCTGTCAACTATTATTTTGTCTTTGTGCCTGTTAAGTAAGCTGTTTAACATTTTTGTTTGATTGTTTTTAATCATAGCAGCTCGTTTGTTGATGTAATCCTCAATTTGCTGATTTTGTGCTTTGGTGCGGTATTTTTTAATCAGTTCCATTGTTTGATTCCAAGCTGATTTTATATGTAGTGCCCAGGTTTGATTCCATATCATTGGGACTTCTATTATTTTAAATTCCAGATTATGTTTGTTAATATAAGTGATGTATCTGTTGAACCTATTCTTTAGATTAAGTTGCGTCAGTTGTTCCATGAATTTATTACACGTCGAGTAAATTAACTGTAGTCTCCGTAGTTGAACATATAGGAATTTCGGTATAGTAATCGCTGATTTCTTACGTGCCATATTTTTCCCCACTTTGATTTTCTTGTTGGGAATCTTAGATTTTGCTGCTTTTAATAATATATCTTTAATAACCTGCCATATACTATTAATGTCATTCTTATTATGCGAATCTTGGTTGAGCAATATTTCTAAATTGCTATTAACAAGTTCATCATCAGTTTTGGTTGTGTACCCCTGCCATTTATCGTTGTCCATTGATGCGTAATCAAAAATTAATCTTTCGTTATTGTTCCTGGCGCACGTAGATGCTTTGTAATTCCTGATGATATCGCTAGTATTGCATATGCACGTGACTATGTTGTGATCATTATTCGTCACAGCCTTCGCATCTATTATTGAACTGTGTATAAGTTCGTTTGTCCAGTTTGGACTAAGCCAAATATAATCGATTCTTGTACTGTTGCTGCCATTAGACCATGTAAATTCTTTTTTGTTAGGATTGGCTTCCCTATATGTGTCAATAATATCATTATCCAGTAACGTGTTGAAAATTCGATTATTATTCCACTGCTTGGTGACATGTAATTTATCTTGATGTTTATTAACTATAGCATTGAAGTCACCTGCTATAATGAGATAATTATTATTATTATTATTTTTATACTCATTTATTTGATCAGTGATGAATTTAGCAACTTCAACTCTTTCTTGGGCATCGTTGGGTGGCATATAGACCTGTACTATACTAATCGAACATTGTTTAAAAATCAATTGGACATAAAGGATATTGTCTGTTGGATTAAGGATTTTTCCTATATGTTTCGCCCATTTGTCTTTCATGTATAACGCTATACCCTTTCCTTTTTTTTTAATCAGATCGCATTTGGACTATATTATATGACCTTCATTTAATTCGTTGTTGATGTATTTCCCATCCTTTGGTGATATATTGGTTTCATTAAGTCCAATAATATCAAAATCCTTCAGATCGTCTATTAAACTATATAGTTTGTCAGGATTTGATTTCAACCCATTAATATTATGAGTGGCAAAAGAAATAGTGGGAAATTTTGCCTTTTGTAGTTGGTTTTGTTGCTCATTAATAAATCTGTTTCGTTTCATGTTCAGTAATTCATTTATATCTTGCATAACCTGATCATTGATATCTTGTAAATGTTGTTGTTCAGGTGTATTTTTTTTATTGTATGCATTTGGGTATTCTCTTGTGCTGTTATTAATTATTTTATCTTGTATTGAATCCTCGTGAGATTTTCCATTGTTTTGAGCTTGTGTTATGTAATTATGATTCCTATACTGTGAGCCTTGATGTAAGTGAGAGGAAAAATTCAGATCTCGGCTATTGATCCGCCTCTCATTCCTTGATACAACTGTTCTGGAAAAGAGATAAGAGGTGAGTAAGCATCTTTTAGCAGAGACTCATCACTTCATCCCAGTCCCCTTGGCGATTTTGATTATTAGGTGTATTACTATTTGTGCTTGAAGTATCAGAGGAAGTATTATCCGAAATGATTATGTTGTCTTTGTTGTTGTTCATAGAGCAGTGAGATTTAAGGCCTAGCGGGATTTTGTTAGATCCACTGGCGCAAGATGGTATATTATCTAAGTTTTTTTTGGTGATGTTGTGATTTTTCGAATTATGATTATTCTTGAATCTCTGATTCCGGTGGGTATGTCTACCAAGGGTTATGTATTGACCTTGTATATGAGGTTTATTATTCACCTTCTCTTTGGAATCATCATCATGGTTTGCCGCTGTTTCGTGTAAGTCTACTAATTGTGTTTGATTGGATTTGTCAGGTGTGTGATTGCTCTTGTCAAGTTGTAACTTCTTTAATTTACTTATGGCGCGGTCCCTTTGTGGCCAGTTGTAACCTAATGGGTGTCCTTTGATATTGAAATCGCTAAAGTGATAATTCTTGTCACAAGCATTAAAGAGGTCAGCCTCGTTTTGAAATTCCACAATGATCTTGTCTGGGCTCTGCTTGAATGCGCTTTTGGGGTTAAAAGGAGCAGTAATTTCCAATGCTTTCGCCGCTGTATGCTCTTTTCCAAAACCTATAAATTCACCTCTATGCTTCTTTCTTTCATCAAAATCACTAGCTTTGAAATGCGCAGGGCCAAGACGGTAAATATAGTTTTCAATATCAATGGACCATACATTCTTCAACAGCTGTCTTGCGTATTCGTCCTTTACTGTGAAGTAAACAGTCATAGTATTCTCTGACCTGTATTTAAAACTTTTGTCCGTTATGAAAAAAGGGCTACCATGCAGTAAGCGTCTAATGCTACTTTCTATGCTAGTTCTATCTATATTGTTAGGTACTTCCAAAATTTTGAACTCTCTACTAGAAATTCGTTGACCATGTAGCGTATAGTACTTCTTTTCTTTCATTTTAAGGTTGCTGTCCTTGAAAAAATGATTAAACAATCGTACCATGCGTCTCATTCCACCAATTGCGTAGTTCTTTATAATAATGTGTTTATCAGTCGCATTGTATTCTACTTCAGCGTAGTCTGAGAAGTTACGTACGTTAAGTTCGATGAAGGCAAGTTTATCATCAAACGAGTCATAGAAGTTTATATCATTAATTGGAATGTAAGCATCGTAAGTTGCGACTTTTTTCTCTATAAACGTGTGCATTGATGTTTGGTTGCGTGTTGAATGTTTTTTTATATCCGTGAGAACTTTCTTTGGTTTCTTAATTTTTGAAGGTGGATACCAATTGTGATCTGTCTTATCATCGATTTCCGTACATTTTTGATTGTCAGCTTTTGTTTTAATGGCTGATTCAAATTCTTGGATTGATGATGCGGCTTTTGATGCATCTTGATCTTTAAGATCCATTTCTTCCTTATAATTGGAGATTGAGTTGTCCATTATATTATCTTCGGCTTCCGTCATAATTACGTCTTGGTTAATCAGCCACAGTTCGTTCCAAATATTATCCACTTCTTCACTACCTTTCGATGAAAGCGGAGATGGAAAAATGTATGATGAGGGCGTATCTATGTTATTCTGCACTGTTGAAATGTCTATTAATATTTCTGATTGATTGTTAAAGTCGAGTGCAGGAATGGCAATGATGTCCTCCATATCAGATACGTGAGTATTCTGATTTCTGTTTTTTCCATAATTCGTTGTTATCTTTGACGAAACTTTGCTATTATGTTTTTCTAAGTCCAATTCCTCCTTATCGTTGTATTGTTGTTAAACAAAAGTTACGTCTGTTGAATTAAGAGGTTGAAGTTCCTTATTTTTTGATTTCCGTTTCTTTTTATTCAGTGGTATAATCTCTGTTGTTTCTTTATTGTTATCACGTGATTGATAGGACGTAGTATCGGGATGTCGAGAATCCTTAGAGTTGTCGACATTGGGACCCGTAATTTTGTCTGTTATATCATTGGTTAAATGTTGTGTACCATCTTGGTATGGGATATTATTATTAGAAGTTGGTACAAGATTCCTAGATCCAGTCGGTAAATTGTCATTGTTTTGTTGTTGTGCTGAAAAACGCGCGAAAATATTATTTTGTTCTTCTTGCACNATTGTTTTGTTGTTGTGCTGAAAAACGCGCGAAAATATTATTTTGTTCTTCTTGCACCAAAAATGTTTGTACTCTTCTTATCCACAATGCTACCGCGATTTTAATATTTCCAAGCCTTTCCGCGAGCAAATATTCATCATGTAGGATAAGTGGACCAGCTAGTTTTGCTAAAATTTTGTATTTTTCATCGTCTATAAAGCTATCATTATTAAACGAAGAACCTTTAAAAATAAAAGACAATTTCGTAAAGTCCATGTTGTTAGTATCGTTAAAGCTGAAACATATAAACTATTAGTAGTTAGTAGCAACAATAACGTTGATATTTTATAAATAAAATAAAGTTTTTCCAACTCTTTGAGTCATACCCTGCAGTATTTTTCTGCTGTGAAATATTGGTTTCAATAATTCCGGAAAGAGTCCTTCTTGTTTGGTTAAATTAAAAAGTACTGATGAGATTTTATCTAATACAGTCAACTCCCTCTATAGTCACTCCCGTTATAGTCACATTCTACTATATAATCACACCAGTTGAATGTTCAAAACACTTTATTATTAAAATCTATCCTATATAGTCACAATCTATCTATAGTCACTATCACACCTATCCTCAAAAATCTTATATTAAAAAGAACCGTTTATAATCACAGTTATATAAAGAATATATTAAATAACTTAGCATCTAATAATCGTACAAAGATGTATCATAGCTTGTTAGAATCGTCTCACTGAGACGAATCGAATGGTGGTAGTTTTATCCTTTTCCGATCACTGGCTGACGAGTTATTCAACAAAATGTTAAACATCAGCATTATAATATTTCTTGATTTACGTTTACTGCGCCATTTAACATTTTGCTAGATTTCTCAGTACCTAGTGATTGTAAAAAGACGATTTATAGCTCGTTGGAATCGCCTCATCGAGACGAATCGAATGGTG